CGGGGGCAGCCGCGCCCCCCGCTTTGTTCGCGGGGAGCGGAGCAGCCAATCGGCGCCCGGCCGTCAGCTGACCGCCCGCTCCCCCCAGGTGCGCGCCGGCTGCGGCCGCACAAAGCGGGCGGGAGCGATGCAGAGCTGAGCAGCTGCGGGGTCGCCTGCAGCCCTTGCCCTCCTCCGCCGAGCCGGACCCCGGCCAGGTGCATGGGCAGCCGGGCACTGCCGCCGCCGCCGCCGCTGCTGCTGCGGGGCTCCGCGTCCCCAGGGTAAGTGCTGGCTCCCTCCTCTCTTCCCAGGGTGGCGGTAGGGGGAAAGCATCCCTGCACAGGCGCCAGCCGGGGAAGCAAAGTTTGCCAGGAACTCCCCTCCCCCTCCCTGAATTTGGGGTAAAGCATCCCTACCCCTGCTGTGTCCCAGGCCTTGCTTCCCCCCCCCCAGTCCTGCTGCCGGCTTTATGTCCGCTTCTCCCCACCCCCGCAACACTTAAGTTTCTTCCTCTGCTTGAACCTGCTGGTGCGGCGGGGATGGGATGAGGCCCCCCCCAGAGTCCAGCTGCCCTGCATGGGAAGCGGCCCCAGGAGCGAAGTTTTGCTGGCCTCGGGTCCCCGGCGAAATGGGTGCCGTTTGTCTGCCTGTGTGCGCCTTTCTGATTTGCATGCAAATGGGAGTGTATCCTGGCAGATGTCTTGCCTCATCCATTCATATGAAGGAATTGGAAAAGACAAGGAGTCTTCAGTTTCACAATAGACCTTCAGGAAATGGAAGAAAGGCTCAGTGTGAGGTTGTTTTCTTTTTTTCTGTTTGGGAATTGGACGCCTTGCTGTCACCTTTATCTGGAAGCCAAATTCTTTGGGAGCCGTTTGCAATGGAAACATTGCGCTGAGGACGGGGCCCCGTACCTGTATAATTTGTTTGGGGCAGATTTGAAAATCTCGGTTGCTCGGGATGGATGAGAGAGGTGGAACTCCTGCAGCTTGACATGATGCTTCAGCACCAACTCTTGCGACTTGCATCCCCCCCACACACCATTAGACCAAAAAATATCCCTCAAACCAATAAAGGATTGGGCTGTTTGGGCAGGCGTCTAATATTTCACACTGTACTCGGAGGAGGAATATGCACTCTCACTGGGTTCCAGCAACTTAGGGCCAGAGCTGGCCCCGAGAGCTAACTGAAGGTAATGAAGCATGGTTTTGGCCAGATAATAATCCGACCTATAATTCTGGTACATTTTTTGTATTGAGATATAGTAATATATATCAGCAGCATTCTCATTTTGCATCATAGGGCTCACTGTAACAACCCTGAAAAAAAATCAATAATCTGATTCAGAGGACCACAAAGCAAGGACTTTCCTTGTCTTTGCTAGCATTAGCTTGATAGACAACACCCTGTGCACTGTTCACCTCCCATCATTGTGAAGCCCGGTTAGACAAAAGGCATGCAGCATGGGCTGCACGTGAGTCTGGGTGAATATACCTACTAACATGCCAAGCACAAGTTGCCTCTCCCTTTGTTAGTCTCATATGCTATTCTCAAAAGTAAAAGGGCCCATTCAGTGAAAGGGGTTAACCCCTGCATTCGAAAGCTTCATTGAAAGAGAGAAAGAGAGTGTGCATTGTATTAGAGGGTTCAGTGTTATGAGGAGGAATACAACAGATGTTAGTCTGCTATTTTACATGTTTCCTTAAGTTATTTAGTGCTGGTTCAATGCATTTTCCCACTAGGCAATGGAAGGCAAAGTAACAGAAACAAACTTAAATCAGAAAATGTTATAGTCCAAACCCGGCAGATTACCCGACAGGCTGCTTCTAATTTTTTTTTTTTTTTTGTCTTCATAACTAGCTACCAAATGAATCACAATAATAAAGTTCTTCTGTGAATATTAAAGTCCGTCTTCCTTATGGAGTTGCAGGATGCCTATAAAATGAGCTTGACATTTCAAGCAGGACTATAAACAATTTATTGAAAAGTAGGGTAATTGGGGTGCATGTGAAACAATCCCAGAGACATTTGAAATAAACAGAGCTAATTGTTTGATCCCGTCATTGCCTAAAATTACCAATATTTTTCTTTATGTCCCGTAAGTTGAAATGAACAGTACTTAAAAGGACAGCTGCATATACAAAAGCAACATCCTGGGGAACGTATTAGTTAAGAGTTAATTGTTAGTCCTGATCAGATTGTCAGCCCATCAAATCAAGTCTGCTGCTTTTGCCATAACAAATATATGATACTTCAGAAAAAGTTGATGCCTCCTTCTCCCGTGATGCTATGGAGCCTGAAACGAGGGGATTCCTTCCTGATGTGCCAACATGAATACTTGGCTCATGCTCTGAAAGTTGCATTTTTTTTTTTTTTTTTTTTTT